CGGATGTGATGACACGTGTCCACTTCCCACCGGACACGTCAGCCTAACCAGACCACAACGATAAAGAAGTAGAAATACAATAATAAACGATAATAAATAAGCGGAAGACTTTAATTAAGACTCAACACTACCCAGAATTTGGTTGTCACATGTACAAACCTCTAAATACAGAATTCGAATAAAAATATACAAGTCTCAGAGTATAGTTCTCGAATAGAACAAAACTGAAAGTAAAGATAACTCAAGGGCACGTCTGGAATGAACCGCTACCTCTCGAGTATGTTCCGAAGCTCAATCTGCTAAAGAAACTACTAAGCCGAATCTGAGAGAGAGCTGTCAACCTACACAATTGTGTAGAAGCAAGGGTGAGTACCGAAAACCACAGATACTCGCAAGTAACTCTAAACTAAGCAAAACTAGCAGCTACAAACAACTCATTTCAATCCAAATCGAACCACCGAAACTTCAATCTAACAGCAAACCAACCAACCTATACTAAACAGATCATATTCAATAGCCAGAACCAACAGTATATCCTCATCAACCTCAGATCAACAAATAAGAGCAAGTAGATCAAATTTCACATAAGAAGGGTAAACCGATACAATCCACACATCACAGACAAAGATAAGGCAAATGCGATGCAAAATGCAATAATGATGTCATGTAGTCGTGATGCATGTCTGTCCTATGATACACATCTGTTGACGTAATCAGTCCGCGCTGAATACTCAAATCATAACCCATGGGGGCCACACATAGACCATGTATCACCGCCGGAACCAGATCCCATCGGCATCCAAATCGCTAGCCGGAGCTAGTCCATCTCATATATCTCTAGCCGGAGCTAGTCTCAACTGTGTCTCATATCCATCCATCCTCATATCAGTGTCTCAGAACTCATGCAACAGATAGTTCACACATGGGATGAATAATGAATATGCACATGTCATCAATCACAATCATATCACGATCACATCATAGTATTACACATCATCTGTCTCAATCACAACCATATCACGACCACATCATAGTATTACACATCACCTGTCTCAATCACAACCATATTACGACCACATCATAGTATTACACATCACATGTCTCAATCACAACCATATCACGACCACATCATATTATTACACATCACCTGTCTCAATCACAACCATATCACGACCACATCATAGTATTACACATCACCTGTCTCAATCACAACCATATCACGACCACATCATAGTATTACATATCACCTGTCTCAATCACAATGTCTGTATCAATCATAGCCTACTCATGCTCTTTTATCCCCTCAATATCAGTTATCACATGACTTATTCAACAAATTCAAGTCACATATAACACATTTAGCTCGTTTTATTCCCCATCTTTCATTTACAATAATTTTAATCAACAAGTAAAATCCATCCTCAATCCCCATTACTCCCCAACACAATTTGGAAAGTAGTCATGCGTAATCTAAGAGTTTTACAAAGTTTGGAAGTCACTTGCCTTAAAACGACCTCCAAAAGTTACTTGACTTGAGCCTTTCCTTTTCGAGTATAATCCAGATCACGATAATCTATTCAAAAAATTATTCACAATCACAATTCGAGTCCAATGACACCAAAATCAAGAAATTTAGGGGAAAAGGGCAAAACGGTCCAAAAGTCTCATACCGGAAAACGATACCCAAATTTGGAAATTTTTGATGTAAAATGATCCTTAAAGTATTTGGAAGCTAATGGTGAAAACCAATTTGAAAAAGGAGTTGAAATCAATTCACAAACTCAATTTGAAGGAAAATCCACGTTCTTGAAGAAGCCTAAAATATTCGGATCCGAAACCCTGACTCGAAAATGAAATATCTCTTGAAAAACATCTTACGCATGCTTAGATAAGTTCAAATATGAAATTTCATCAAAAACGGAGTTAAAATCGACCTTGAAATTCTCAATTTATCAAACTTTAACTTTACCAGGAAAGTCCAAATTGTACGCGGTTAATATGATGAAAATAATTGATGAATTAATAATTTTATGTTAAAATCAGTTTACCCATAACATAAGGATCGTAAATATACCTTTTTCATCAAAAAGGGAGTCCAAATCGATAAAACCCCAAATTTTCCCAAGAGATTTACGGATAGGAAAAAAAAACCAGATAAAGAAATTATGAGAAAATTGTCGAATTGAAGATTCAATACTAACCTTCATATTAATTCAAGAAGAAAACCGGAACAATAACTCCATTCCGATCTCTAGAACTCCCGATATGCTCAAAATACCAAATGAACACAGTCTGAGATTTTTATAGCAGTACATGGCTGTTATGCACCAGAAAAACAGCAGTTAATCTTTCACTAAAAAGGCCGTAATTTCCTCATACGATAGTGAAATGACCCGATTCTTTTTTGTAAATGTCTTAAATAATGATACGGACCTGCTCGTTCAATCGGAGCTCAATTTCATGCTCGTTTGCTCAGTCAAATATCATTTCTACTCGGTAAACAATTATTTCTTATTTGCGATAAAAGTTCAATCTCGGGTTAGCGAAAATGCACCAAAATTTGCAGATAAGTCTTATAATTCATGCTCAAAATTTCAGAATCTTTGGAATAATTTTTCGACCTTTAAAACTAATAATGAACCCTTTAGTTGCCACAATTTGCTGAAATAGTGTCAAAGCATCCAAGAAGCTTAAAAGCTCACTCAAAACTCATTTGGCACTTCCCGAACACAAACCAAATATGCTACTAGCTTGAAAATGACATTTCGGACTCAATGAAATCGTCGGAATTTGAATTCGAGGTCTCCTTGACCCGGTATCCGATAAGGCGTCAAGAAACTAACTTTAGGCTCAAAAACTCAAAACGCACTCGGGGCCTCTAAAAATTCAACCAAGACTCATTCTAGACTTAGAATCCCCCCCTGAATCCAACGGTGCCCTCAAAATTCCATTTCGAGCACCGAAACCTCGTTTGTTGACCAAAGTCAACTCTTGATCAAAATTTCACAATTTTTGCAACTTAGGATCTCAAATCTTCGTTTTAACTCCAAATTCGACTTCGTAAATTCCCATAGACCTGTTTCGACATTCTAAAACTACTGGAATCGACGGAAATTCGATTCGAGTCTAGAAACTCCAAATGACTCGAAATAGCACTTTTAACCAAACTTTAACTCTTAAGAACTCAACTTTCCAAAAACTCAACTTTTCATCAATTTTCCTTCAAACCAACTTCAAAAATACAACAATTAAGACTCGGGGCAACTATCGGGAGGGGTAAAACGGTCATTTTATGAAAATTTCCAAAAATGACCTTTAGGGTCATTACATATATATATATATATATATAATATGATATGATGATTAGCAGATGTTAACCTTTTGATACTCCTTTTTGGGACTCTTTTGGACATTGTGTGAATTCCAAAACGAGGTTCAAATTATTACATAGACAAAATCACTAGGCGATTTCTTCCTATTTGTCCTAATCTTGGTGTACAAATTTATTTGGTATCTATTGATGGTGGGAGGTAACAAATACCCTATGAAATTAGTTGAGTTGTTGGTGAGAGGTGACAAGTATAAAGTATTTCGTGGAATTAGTTAAGGTGCATGCAAGTTGATCTGGACATAAAAAAAAAAAAAAGATCCCTCACATGGATTTAATTAAAGATCTAGTGTATACCATAAAAACTTATAATATTACTAGTGGAACTTTTATTTCATTTCAAAAAAGGGAAAGAATATATAGCGTCAGCCTTTGTTGAAAGTGAAAAAGTATTTTCCAAATTCCATACACATTGGTATCGTAGAAGAACAAACACTATTCTTCTTCTTCAACAACTTTGAGCTTCAGATATGAAATCGCCTTTGTTACGAGTACAAATCCAAATTTAATTGGAGTAAAGAAGTGAAAGAAGCATCCAGGAATTAGCATTGAAGTACTACGTACCTCTGGTTTTCTACTCATTTGAGAATGTAAGTTTGAATTTACGAATCTTTCGGCAATTGTTTATAAATTTTATGCAGAGCGTGTCTTTTTTGGTTTTTGAAATTCTATCAGAAGTTACAAAGTCCTGAAATTTTGGGAAAAGAAATTACCTATTCGGTTTATTTTTACTTGTCCACTTTGGACTTTGCAGATGCTTAAGAAACAATAATTGATATGACTCATATGAGTATTTTTACAATATTAAGTCTTGGAAAATGATTAGGGAAATAAGTAATTAATACTCCATGTTAAAACATGGGAAAAAATCGTCTTTTTTTTATATGTTAGAATTGACAAATAAAAATTAAATTCTATTTTTGGAATAGTGGACAAGTAAAAGTGAACTGAGGGAGTATTAGGTGAAGACCTTCAAAATTATGGTCAGCTGAGCTATTTGTTCTTCCAAGATGTAGCATAAAAGAGTTCTGCTACATTCATGTTAAGAAAAGAAGAAGATGAATGCACTAAGCTATAATGTGTGCCTATATATAGCTTATACCCCAAAAAAAAGAAGGGAAAAGGGTCTCATATCCCCCCTCAACTTTGCGATTTAGAGATGATATATCCCTCGTTACAAAAGTGGCTCACATATACCCCTACCGTTACATAAATGGACCTGATTATTTGATAGACCTAGTAGATTAGTTAACTTTAATTTATTTGCCAATCTATTTATTCTAGGACGAGCAATCAGTTCTAATATAGTTATTTCTACTTCTACCAGCAGTAAAGAGATCAAGATAACTGACATGGTAAACGTTCTGAAGGGTGAAAGAACTTCCACCTCAATTGATGAGGAAGTGGTTGGTTTTAAGGAAAATGCTGATAACATAATTAAACAATTGACGGGAGGAACGAAGGAACTAGACATTGACTCAATTGTTGGAATTCCTGGACTAGGCAAAACAACTTTGGCTACAATGGTTTTCACTCATCATTGTGTTGATAAACACTTTGACGTTCGATCACGGTGCTCTATTTCAAAAGAATATAATTTGAGGAAGGTGTTCTTAGAGATTCTTAAACAAGTTGTAGGCAATATGGATGATAGCCCATCTGAAGACTTGCCTGACAAGTTGCGCAAGAGTCTAATGCACAAGAGATACCTCATTGTTTTAGATGATATATGGGAAGTTGAGGCTTGGGAAGAGTTGCACTTATCGTTCCCGGATGATGAAAATGGAAGCAGAGTAGTGCTAACAACTCGAGATGAGGAAGTGGCTAGGCAGCTTAAGCACCACAGTGATCCATATTTTCTTCGATTTCTCACCGTGGATGAGAGCTGGGACTTGCTTCAGAAGAAAGTATTTCAAGGAGAGATTTGTCCCCCAGAGCTACTTAAAACAGGATTACAAGTTGCTCAAAACTGCAAGGGATTACCTCTTGTGATCGTTTTGATTGCTGGAATTATTGCAAAGCAAAGGGAAGCCTCTTTGTGGCTTGGGTTCGCAGAAGATTTGAGTTCCCATGTTTTAGAAGAGCAAAGCATGAAGATAATAGAATCAAGTTATGACCATTTGGAGGACCATTTAAAGTCTTGCCTGCTTTACATGGGATTGTTTCTAGAAGACCATCAATTTCCAGTATTCAATTTGCTAAACTTGTGGATAGCAGAAAATTTTATACACAGCGTGGACACAGAGAACGTTGAAGAAGCATCTAAAATTTGCTTGAATGATCTAGTGAACAGAAGCTTAGTAATTATTTCTCGAAGGAGAGAAGATAATGGTGAGATAGAGTACTGCACTGTTCATGATGTAGTGCATGAGTTTTGCATGAGGAAACTTACAAAAGAAAAGTTTATGCAGTACCGGCCTTCAAAGGAACCCCAATATATTAGGTTTATCCATGATGATCTTGTTCACCAATTGTTGCAGTATACAAAATCATTGGATAGGATTCCAATGTTGGCAGGCTTGAAGGAAGGAGAGTCTTTTGCTCAATGTCATGATAGGTTTCTTAAGTTTATTGCTCATCCAAAGTCCCGTGTTTGGGAAAAGACTTTTCCTTTACTCGATAACTTAAGATTTATTCGGGTGTTGCATTTGTCAGATGTCTGTTTGGAAAGACGTTCTTGGACTACAGCAGTGCAAGCAGTAACTCACTTGAGATATCTTGCAATTTGTACCCAAGAATTTGATTTCCAGTGGGTATCACACCTACACTATCTACAAACTTTGCAGGTGGTGGGGAATAGTGATTTTTCAAGGCGTTTCGAGACATCCCCTTCTATTTGGAAAATGAAGAAGCTAAGACATGTGGATATACAGGATTTTTCCTTCAAATGGGAAGACAATGATCGAGCACTGTTCGAAGAATCTTCATCAACTTTGTTACCAGATTTGAAGACTTTTGGAAAGTGTCGTATATACTTGGCTGATAAGACTCCGGAGTTCTGGTGGAGATTTCCAAATATTGAACAACTCAAGCTCCACTTTATTGAACCAGGTTATGAAGTTGATATGCCTAATCTTGAAGAACTCCCACTTCAATCTCTCGAACTGTGTTTTTCACGCCCGATTTCAGGCTACAAATCCATTGGACAGGCCCGCTGTGTTGTCTTCCCTTCAAATCTAAAGGATTTGTCCCTTGATAGACTTTGCCTAACAGAAGAAGCTTTTTCACAACTTGCAAGTCTGCGAAACCTTGAAAGTCTCAAACTACGTAATATATACTTTAAGCCGGAAAGTAGATTCAGGCAGGCTGGATATAGCATATGTTGGGATGTCAGTGATTATGAGTTCCTAGCACTCAAATAGTTGCTTTTACAGAATATTCTCGTGACAGAATGGCGCTCCTCAGAGTCATCCTTCCCTGTGCTGGAGAAATTAATTTTAAACAAATGCACAATTCAGTGTGATCAGATCCCTTCTAGCTTTGTGGATATCCCGACATTGAAGTTGATTAAGTTGATTGGCTGCAACTACTCACTTGAGAAGTCAGCTTTCAACATTAAAAATGAAGTGGAAGAGATCGCAGGATGTGATAGTCTCCAACTTCATATTCAGTATCAACCAGACAGTAAGCTATATCATTAAGTGCCCGTTTAACCATGGATAGTATTCCAGAAAACTGTTTGGACTTGAGAAAAACTTTATTTAGGTAAAAAATAATTCATTCAGGTAACATTTTGATTTTTCTCTCTATTTTTCTTTCTTTCTTTATAGGATATGCAGATGCAGATTTTGCAGCAGAATGCTTCAGTGTTTGGGATCAAGAAAACAACCGTAGCTCACTGCCGCCTTTTGACTTGAGGTTGCAAATGACTTATGTTCCCATGTTTGTAATGACCTATTAGTTCGTTTTGAGTTTTAGAATCCCTTTCCCCTATTTGAGACTTTCAGTATGTTCATTTGGTGTTTTATGACTTGTGGGTATGGGGGGCATGGGTTCCAAGAGGCTCAGATGAATTTTGGAATGTTAGAACCGAAGTCAATGTTGTGATGAGACGGGCTCGAATTCAAGATTTGAGTAGGTTCATAGGATGAGTTTGAACTTGTACATATGTTTGCACTGCAACTCGAGAGGTTCAGTGAGATTTGGCCTTTTGGGTGCTAATATCCTATTTCAGTTGCACCAGATTTTTTTTTACTAGTGCATCAGGTTTTTGTGCTTTGTGATCATGGGAGGAGGAGTGGTGATCGCGTAGGGTTGTTTTACCTGGGATTGGTTGACACAATTGTGGTAAAGAATCAGCTTTACTTATATCGCATCAACTCTCTTATTCGCGCATTTTATTTAGTTGTTGGGTTGAATCTGTGCATAGCTTGTCTGTATGTTGGTTTTGTGCATTTTTTTTATAACAATGTTCGGTTAGATATACTTCTATGTTGTTATTCTATGTCTGTTGAGATCACATAAGCTGATCAGGATGGAACACAAGCATTTGAAAGACCAACCCGTTACTATCGATGATACTTGTTGAGTACACGTTATATTTTTGAACTCATACTACACTTATTGCCTTTTTTGTACAGTAATGTATCCCCGTGATAGCGGCTGTCATGACTGAGTTTAGAGTTTGCTTGGAGATATCAGGGTGAGCTACTTGGCTAGTTCGTAGCATCGTGGACTCACTCTCTTATTTTACTGGTAATGTTCTGCTTTCATCCACAGTGTATCAAGAAGTACCCCTGAGAATTCTCCAGGTGAGATTCCTTGAGAGACTTAATGGGGCATTCTTTGTGTTCGAGGATGATGATGGTTGCTTCTGGGCGGGGGAGGAGCCATGTAGGGCCAAGGGGTTCGTCTGAACCATCTTTGACGAAAACTTACACTGTTATATATAGTAAATGTGTAATACTTTGACTTCTTCATGTGTTTACTTTTTCATATTTTGAAAGTTTTAGTAAAAGTCAAGGTTCCGCTATTGCTTCTGGGATGAAAAATATTGCAGATGTTGATTAAATTGAGGAGATGCACGAAGTCACTTGAGGATTCAGCTCTGAACATTAAAGAAGAAGTAGAAGGGTGTGTTTGGTATGAAGGAAAATGTTTTCCTTTTTCTCATGTTTGGTTGGTGAATAGAAATATTTTTCGGAAAAGATTTTGTGTTTAATTTATGAATGAAAAATATTTTTGAGAAATATCTTTTATTTTTACTAGAGTAGAAAATATTTTTTTGAAATTGAAAATATTTTTTAAAAACAAACTTAAATTTTTTTTGGGGGTGGGGGTTGGTAGGGGGGGGGGGTCGAGGGTAGGGGTGAAAAATTGAATTTTTGAAGTTGAAATATTTTTTAAAAACGAATTTAAATTTTTTTTTTTTGGGGGGGGGGGGGGGGTGCTGGTAGGGGGTGAGTGGGGTGGGGGCGCTAGGTATGGGTGAAAAATATGAAATTTTGAAATTGAAAATATTTTTTAAAAACAAACTTAAATATTTTTTTTGGGATGGGGGGTGGGGGTGAGGGGCTGGTAGGGAGTGGGGGGTCGAGGGTAGGGGTGAAAAAATGAAAATTTGAAATTGAAAATATTTTTTAAAAACAAATTTGAAAATTTTTTGGGGGGGAGGGGGGAGGGGTGGGGGTAGAGGGTAGGGGTGAAAAAATGAAATTTTGAAATTGAAAATACATTTTAAAAACAAACTTGAAATATTTTTTAGGGGTGGGGAGGTGGTTGGCTGGTAGGCGTGGTTGGGGGTGGGGGGTCAAGGGTAGGGTGAAAAAATGAAATTTTGAAGTTGAAAATATTTTTTTAAAAAAAACTCAATTTTTTTTTTGGGTGGGGAGGGGGGGTGGGTGATTGAGGATCGGGATGAAAAAATAAAAATTTGAAGTTGAAAATATTTTTTAAAAACAAACTTAATTTTTTTCTTTTTGAAGGGGGTTAGGGGGTTGAGGGGGGGGGGGGGGGGCGAGGGTAGTGGGTAAAAAAATAAAAAATTGAAATTAGAAATATCTTGAAGTTGAAAAATTGAAATTTTGAAATTTTGAAGTTGAAATATTTTTTAAAAACGAATTTAAATTTTTTTTTGGGGGGGAGGGTGAAGGTAGGGGGTGAGTGGGGTGGGGGCGCTAGGTATGGGTGAAAAATATGAAATTTTGAAATTGAAAATATTTTTTAAAAATAAACTTAAATATTTTTTTTGGGGATGGGGGGTGGGGGTGGGGGGTCAAGGGTAGGGGTGAAAAAATGAAATTTTGAAATTGAAAATATTTTTTAAAAACGAATTTGAAATTTGTTTTTTTGGGGGAGGGGTGGGGGGTAGAGGGTAGGGTTGAAAAAAAATGAAATTTTGAAATTGAAAATACATTTTAAAAACAAACTTGAAATTTTTTTTGGGGGTGGGGGGAGAGGGTCAAGGGTAGGGTGAAAAAATGAAATTTTGAAGTTGAAAATATTTTTTAAAAACAAGCTCAATTTTTTTTTTTGGGTTGGGAGGGGGGGTGGGTGATCGAGGATCAAGGATTGTGATATTCGATCTCACGATCTTTTTTATGGGCCAAATAAGTGAATTTTTTTTTAATATAGTGACGGTAAGATTCAATTTCAAGATTTTTGACTACTCTGATATTATGTCGAAATATGTGAACATCGCACTTTTGTTAATTAATTTTATCCTCAACAACTTCTTCACATATTTACTTGCTCTTGAGCCGAGAATCTAGCGAAAACAAACTTTCTGTTAATTTTTTGTAAATTTAAGGGACCACAATTGTTAAGTGCATACTTAAAAGAAATTATTTTGAACCTTCAAACATAACAGATCATGTTTGCTAACTTGTGACAAATTACTTAAATGATCAAAACTAGGGGTGGGCTTGATATGGTATATATCCAATTATTATATTATATCGAAAATTTTAATACCGTGATTTCAGTATTATGATATTTTGGTATATGGTATACATTTTTTGTTTAATATCTGGTATGGTATTTGATATTTAAAAAATAACATATATCGAAATATCAAATACCACATCGAAGTATAATTATATTATTAAAATGCTAATAAATATGCAATCTAGTATTTGTATAAACTAAATATTTAGAAGTTGAAACTTTGACTACTCTATTTTGATTGAAATGTAATTGATTAGCATAAGGGGTTGTTTGTACTCTATTTTGAATATATATTTTTACATGTATAATGTGTTAGCATGATACAATTAAGATATTTTTTAACTATCAAAGTCATAATACTCTATTATACGAATATATATTAAGTTGAACAAACTATCGAAACCGAACTTTAGAATACCGAACCATACTAAATTAAATTGGTATGATAATGATTAAATGTTTTTAAAACCAAAAATCGAAATTACAATAACAAAACATTCAAATATCGTACGATACCATACCATGCCCACCCTCAAAACTATTAATTAGTGCATACTTAACGGACTATTTTAAGCTTACCATTAAATATAAGGGACCATTTTGTCTTTTTCTCACTCCCACTCAACGATTAATTACTATATTATCCCTCCTTCATTCACCATATGCTTTCATATTCCAAATCCTTTTAAGTTATAAGAAGCTGTCGCTTCTCTCTCATAATTGAAGGTCAGATTTCTTCTTAGGTTCCTGTTTTTTTATGTACTAGGTTCTGGCCACGTGCCACGCACGTGTATCTTAATTTGATTGATAATATTTTTTTATAACAATCTACATAATCAAAACATGTCTCTAATAAATGTTATGTCCGGTGTAAATTAGTATATATATAGATAGGGATAATATTTAAATATGTGTATGATGATAAATAGAAAATTTAATGTGAAAAAGACTTAGAAGCTCTTACAAGCTCAATTTAAAGAATAGTAAAAAAATTGAGTTGATTATTCAATGTCATCTAAACTTGAAAAGTGTACCCATATAATATAGTTAGATATGCACGGTATAAAATGAGTTCATTAGTAATATTATTAGGTGTAAATATGCGATATAATTATATTGTACCTAATACTTTCTTATAGATGTTATTTTTATTTGTATATCTATTATATTTCGATGATTCAATGATCTAAAGTTTTATTGTAGATATTAATATCTCTCTAGTTCTTGGTGTTTTTTTGTATCAACTTATTATGTTATTGATTTGCGACACGATTTTTTACATTAATATCATTTTTTACTTTAAGCATTTCCAAAAATGAACAAAAGAAAGAAGAATTTATCGCTAAGTTATTAATATATAATAACATAAGTGGTATGCCCATTATAGTAAGTTAATTATAAATTTTATGTAATAATAATTGAAGATGAAGATCAAAGTCTATGCCTGTAAGATTTGTTATAACAGAGATAGAGAAAATTTCTTTCTTTACAAAGAGAGGTTGTTTAGATACCTAGCATCCCGTCAATAAAAGCTATATATGGAGAATAAAAAATTGATAAATTGATTTTTTTTATTTGAATTTCATTTCAATTTTTTCTTAAACAAATATGATGTATTCTTTCAGTTTAAAGACGATTAAAAAGTCATTTAAACTAAAAACTTCTACACCAAATTGCAACATGCAAGTAGATAATAAATTAAATTTCTAACCGAATAAAATCAACAAAGTATTAAAGGAATTACTCTCTGACAATATGCACGGAAGTATATACATTTAAAACAATTAATCCTCGTGTTTATAACATTCAGTGAAAAATGTATTGTACATTACTAAATCATTCATTGGGACAAATAGTTCCGAATTAAAAGATAATTATTTTTTAATATTAAATAACATATACCATCTCAAACATCTCAAGAATGAGATTTAAACCACATATAGATGCATATAAATCATAGATATACCTGAAAAAGGAGAATTTCTGACCGATAGAATACAAATAGAATAATAGGGCAAAGACAACTTGTAAGCTTTTATTGAGTATTGCAATGTAAAGAATAAGAAAAGGTTTTAAGAGAAAATTATTAATGCGGAAGACGAAAGAATAATGCGGGAGATGAAAGGTAGAATCAATCTTAATAACTAAACAAATAGTGAATGGCCATGTTCTGACTTAATCATAACATAAGTGTGAAGCATTAAACTAATGTTGGAATGAGTGTAAATGGAAGAAGCTCAAAGGATAACAATTAAAGCCTCATTAAGAAATGATTAACTCTAACACCTAACCATGTATATTTGGTCTAATTAACTTATTATTATTTATTTAATAAAAAAAATAGTGAAGGGTATTTTCGTAATTCAACTTTGAGGTTAGGAGCTTCCCACTTATAATATAATATTTTAATTAAAAAAATAGTGAAGGGTATTTTCATAATTCAACTTTGAGGTTAGGAGCTTCCCACTTATAGTATAATATGATGATATATATTTTGTCTATATTTATCATTTATCATAAGTTAACATTTTTATGTCTTATTTGAGAAGATCATGTAGTTTATGTTCTGAACTTCTGATTATGAATTTTTTTTTTTCTTTCCAAAAATGTCACACTAGATATAGCAAGGTAACTTGGATTTTATCCATATTTTTTTGGCTATATAAACTTAACTGTACTAAGAGTAAGTAGCTAGCTATGATGCTCGGACTCTGGAGAAACCCTGTGGGATCCTTAAAAATATACTCCCTACATCTCATTTTATGTGTCACCGTTTGACTTGACAAAGTATTTAAGAGAAAAATGAAGACTTTTGAAACTTGAGGTCTTAAATAATCTTTAGATATTTGTGTGGTTGTAAATTATTTAGTAGGTAAAAGAGAAATTTTAAAGTTAAATTGTTTCTAGTAGTAGTAAGGTGACATTCTTTGTTAGATGAACTAAAAAGAAAAGGTTGCCACATACAATGAGATGGAGGGAGTACTATATCTGAAGGATCTGACACGCACCCTTTCAATATTTTTGTTGGTAGGTAGTTTGAGGAAAGTGGTTTCAAGAATAGGAAAGCTTAAAAATGGAGTGTGTTAATACAAAGAGAGTTAAAATTTGCTAAAAGACTATAACTTTGAGGTCACGAAAAAGTGATATTTTAGGTGTTTTATTTTTACTATTAACTCTAAATAGTATCCAAGAGAAGATTGACTTTCAGTATTCCCTCTAGGAAATGATCTTTTCTAGGAAACTATGAATAGATTGTTGAATTTTGACTTGTTTGGCAATCTAAATAATTCTAAGCGATTGTGCAATCAGTTGTAACATAGTTATATTTACTCCTAACTGCAGTAATTGGCATGGAGAACGTTCTGAGCAGTGAAAGAACCCCTTCTCGTAGTTTTCCATCAATTGATGAGGAAATAGTTGGTTTTGAGGAAGATGCGGAAAGTATAATTGGCATGGAGAATGTTCTGAGCAGTGAAAGAACCCCTTCTCCTAGTTTTCCATCAATTGATGAGGAAATATTTGGTTTTGAGGAAGATGCGGAAAGTATAATTGGCATGGAGAACGTTCTGAGCAGTGAAAGAACCCCTTTTCGTAGTTTTCCATCAATTGATGAGTTAATATTTGATTTTGGGGAAGATGCGGAAAGTATAATTGGCATGGAGAACGTTCTGAGCAGTGAAAGAACGTCTTTTCGTAGTTTTCCATCAATTGATAAGTTAAAACTTGATTTTGAGGAAGATGCGGAAAGTATATTTGGCATGGAGAACGTTCTGAGCAGTGAAAGAACCCCTTCTCCTAGTTGTCCATCAATTGATGAGGACATATTTGGTTTTGAGGAAGATGCGGAAAGTATAATTAGCATGGAGAACGTTCTGAGCAGTGAAAGAACCCCTTCTCGTAGTTTTCCATCAATTGATGAGGAAATAGTTGGTTTTGAGGAAGATGCGGAAAGTATAATACAGAAATTGACTGGATGTACCGAGGAACTAGACGTTGTCTCGATTGTTGGAATGCCTGGACTAGGCAAAACAACTTTGGCTAAAAAGGTGTTCACTCATCCAAGCGTGGATAAACACTTTGACGTTCAAGCATGGTGTTCTATTTCAAAAGAATATAATTTGAGGAAGATGTGCTCTGAGATTCTTAAACAAGTTTTAGGCAGTGTGGATGGTATACGAAATGAAGACATGCCTGACAAGTTGCGCAAGAGTTTAATGAACAAGAGATACCTCATTGTTTTAGATGATATATGGGAAGTTGAGGCTTGGGAAGAGTTGCAGTTATCTTTCCCGGATGATGAAAATGGAAGCAGAGTAGTGCTAACAACTCGAGATGAAGAAGTGGCCAGGCAGCTTAAGCACCACAGTGATCCATATTTTCTTCGATTTCTCACAGTTGATGAGAGCTGGGACTTACTTCAGAAGAAAGTATTTCAAGGAGAGATTTGTCCCCGAAAGCTACTCAGAACAGGATTACGAGTTGCTGAAAGCTGCAAAGGATTACCTCTTGTGATCGTTTTGATTGCTGGAATTATTGCAAAGAAAAGGGAAGCCTCTGTATGGCTTGAGATCGCGAAAGATTTAAGGTCCCATGTTTTAGAAGAGCAAAATATGAAGATAATAGAATCAAGTTACGATTATTTGGAAGACCATTTGAAGTCTTGCCTTCTTTACATGGGATTGTTTCTAGAAGACTACAAATTTCCAGTGTCCGATTTGCTAAACTTATGGATAGCCGAAAATTTTGTACAAAACATGGGCTTAGAGAACGTGGAGGAAGCATCTAAAACTTGCTTGAATGAACTAGTGAAAAAAAGCCTAGTAATTGTTTCTGGACGGAGAGAAGATAATGGTGAGATAGAGTACTGCACTGTTCATGATGTAGTGCATGAGTTTTGCTTGAGGAAACTTACAGAAGAAAAGCTTATGCAGTACCGGCCTTCAGAGGAACCCCAGTATATTAGGTTTATCCATGATGATCTTGTTCACCAATTGGAGCAGTATACAACATCATTGGATAGGATTCCAATGTTGGCAGGCTTGAAGGAAGGAGAGTCTTTTGCTCAATGTCATGATAGGTCTCTTAAGTTTATTGCTCGTCCAAAGTCCCGTGATAGCTTAAGATTTATTCGGGTGTTGCACTTGTCAGATGTCTGTTCGGAAAGACGTTCTTGGACTACGGTAGTGCAAGCAGCAACTCACTTGAGGTATCTTGCAATTTGTACCCAAGAATTTGATTTCCAGTGGGTATCACACCTACAAGATCTGCAAACTTTGCAGGTGGTGCGAAATGATGATCAACTTTTGGGGTACTTTGAAACATCACCTTCTATTTGGAAAATGCAGAAGCTAAGACATGTGGATATACAGGACTTTTCCTTCAAATGGGAAGACAATGATCGAGCACTTTTCGAAAAATCTTCAGAAACTGTGTTACCTAACTTGAAGTCTTTTGGGAAGTGTCGTATATACTTGGTTGATAAGACTCCGGAGTTCTGGTGGAGATTTCCAAATATTGAACAACTCAAGCTCCACTTTATTGAACCAGGTTATGAAGTTGATATGCCGAATCTTGAAGAACTCCCACTTCTATCTCTCGAACTGTGTTTCTCACGCGCAATTTCAGGCTACAAATCCATAGGACGGGCCAGCTGTGTTGTCTTCCCTTCAAATCTAAAGGATTTGTCCCTTGATAGGCTTTGCCTGACTGAAAAAGCTGTTTCACAACTTGCAAGACTGCGAAACCTTGAGAGTCTCAAACTACGTGAAGTATACTTCCAAGTCTGAAGATAGATATGGGCAGCCTGGATATAGCATATGTTGGGATGTCAGTGATTATGAGTTTCGAGCACTCAAATACTTGAACTTACAGAATGTTCTCGTGACAGAATGGCGCTCCTCAGAAGAATCTTTCCCCGTGCTTGAGCAACTAATTATAAACAATTGCATAATTCAGTGCGGTCAGTCCCTTGTACCTTCGTGGATATCCCAACACTGAAGTTGATTAAATTGATTCGCTGCAATAAGTATCTTAAGCTCTCAGCTCTCGGTATTAAAAAAGAAGTGGAAGAGATTGCAGGATGTGATTGTCTCCAAGTCCTTAGCCAGAATGAATATTTCGATTATGGTAAGTGCAAAATCATTCATTCATTCATGTAACATTATGTGCACTGTGTTATATGTATAAAATTAAGAAAAACTTCATGAAAGCAAAATCATTCATTCATGTAACATTTCTTAAATAGTTTTTTTTCCAATGTCTCAGTTACAGATGTAGATTTTACAACAGACTGCTTCGGTTCTTGGGATCGAGGAGACAACCATAGAGTGGCTGGATAAGTGTTTCTTTTGGTTCCCATAACACAATTTCTGCTTCTCAAATGAAGGCATATAGGTTTAGGCTTGGAACACAATACCTGAAGACATCTGGTACAGAAGGGCATGTCAAAAGAGCACAAGTGGCAGAGAACTTAATGTTGCTTGGATTCTTCAAAATTGTTGTCGTATCCATGTTGCTACTTTTGGAGGATCCAACACGCTGCCAAAGTGAATTTTGAAGAGCCAGTAACCATTTGGAAAGAGAACATGCAAGATGCTTAAAAGATACAGTTAGCCAGTTCTATATAGATGATTAAAAGGCAAACAATTGTATATATACTTTTGTTGGTAAAGATGAACTAATTTATCATGTAGAGACACTTAAATCAGGTTAAAATTAGATTCCCTTTTGTAAATATATCAAGCACAATTAATGCTGTATATGTAATACTTGCAATCTTCTCAAATTCATTTAATTTTCACCTTGCTTTCCTAATTAGTTGTTATATTTTTTTCACTATCATATTTTTTTTTTCATTCTTTCAAAAACATTTTTTCTATCTTTCATTAAACCTTAATATTAGCAAATTGGCTCATATATGCGCTTGTATTTAATAGATCAACGGCTCAAAATACTCTAACTCTATATATTTAAGTAATTTTTTTATCATAAATTTCAAATATTTTTTATTTATTTTTTAAATTTATAAAATTGGAGTCGAAGATAAAAGTTTTTGGCCCTTCAATTTGAAAATTAAAATAAAATTCCAATTTTACCCCTTTTTAATTTTAGATTATGATAATTATAAAAGGCAAAGTTGAACCTGAAAAACAAATAAGCCATTTTCATTCGTCTTACTGCTCTGCTGCGCTCCACACCGTCTTGTAAGTTTCTCCTTGTCTCTTCAATCTCTATCTAATTTGACCGAAGCCCTTTTAATTTACTTGCAATTTGAGTATATTTAGTAAACCATGAATTCCAGTGAATTTGTTTTTGTGTTTAATGATGTATTTGTTCCCATTTATCGAAGAGCTGCAACTCTATTGTATTACTTCATTTTTTGATTTTTTTTCACAAATTTAAAGCATGATTTTTTTCACAAATTTAAAGCATGATGTTCTTATAGTGTAGCACTAATCTGCGTATAAGTAGTAGCAGTCGAGAAAAATTTGTCCTTGTTTTGGTCATATATAGTCCAAGTCATTTCCTGTTTGTAGACTCAGGGGGGAGATTTAGGGTATTGGAGGGGGTTCCCAAGAACGTAGTAAATTTTGTGCGGATCCTGTGTTTGTATTGAAAAATCCAGTAAGAGAAACGGCTTGGGGATGTTGGGTAGTGGGTAAAAATGTAATCTTTTAAGCTTTGTTGCCCTCTTGGTCAAGGGTTCGAATTCGTTGGTCACCATCCATTAGGCTTGGAACCCACAAACTTCAAATTCTTGATATGCCTCTGTTTGTAGTTTTTGTTTTAAGGGGAAACAACTCTTTTCTCCAAAATCTTACTACACTTCAATTGTTTTAGCTAAATTGCGCACATCTCTGTTCTTTTCCAGATGCATAAATGTGATGGTCTTCTCGCTAATTGAGTCTCGAAAATGGTTTACAGTCAATGGAAGGCAAAGATTGTGCCATCCATTGCCATCTCTGGGAGTAGGACATATGTGGGTTCAAATTATGTTCAAAACCAGTGGAGGGAGGAGACCTAAGAAGAAAATGTACTATAGAGTAAATGATCTAGACAGAGTCATGGAGCTTCAGAAGAAACCATCATTGATTTTACGCTTAAAATCCATAATTCAATCACAGAGAAAACAATGCGTCCTTCTTAGAGACCTTGAGAAAGAAGTTGGATTTGTGCAAAAGTGGAATTTCATGGGTATTATTGAGAAATATCCTACGATATTCCGTGTCACCGGTGGTAATGGAACTCCACCGATGGTTATGCTGACTGAAAAGGCTGATAAAATAGCACTAGAAGAAGATGAAGCAAGAGCGCAAATGGAACCTATTTTGGTCAAGAATCTAAGGAAGTTGTTAATGTTGTCGGTTGATTGCACATTGCCACTGGAAACCATTCAACTGATTGAGAATGATTTGGGCTTGCCTAATGACTTCAGGCAGTCGCTGATTCCAAAATACCCACAATTTTTCTCAGTGAAAGACGTGAATGGAAGAACTTCCCTTCAGTTGGAAAATTGGGATTCTTTTCTAGCTGTCACTGCCCGGGAGGAAAGGTTGGCGTGTGAAGGGGTCCTGACTTCAAAAGAGAAGGTTAGAGTATTGAAAGATGGAAACTATTTCGGTCCCTTCGCGTTTCAAATGCATTATCCTGCAGGATTTAGGCCGAATATGAACTACCTTAAGGAAGTTCAGAAATGGCAGAAGATGGAGTTCCCTTCTCCATACTTGAATGCTAAAAGATTTGAACTTGCTGATCCCAAAGCTCAAAAGAGAGTAGTCGCAGTGCTTCACGAGCTCCTCAGTTTGACTATGGAAAAGAGGTTGACATCTGCTCAAATAGATGCATTTCATTCCGAGTTACGGTTACCAGCTAGACTTTTGCTTTGCTTAATCAAACAACACAGTATATTCTACATCACTAATAAAGGTGTTAGGAGTACCGTGATACTTAAAGAGGCTTATGATGGGTCTAATTTGATCTGTAAATGCCCTCTGTTATTATTTAGGGATAAGTTTATAGCACTTACAGGAAGAAGAGAGATTGATTCATGTATCAGTGCTCCAACATAGTTAATTTAATGAGAACAGTGGTTGACACTGTATTCTGTTCTTTTTACCCTGTTTCTCATGGGTCTTGATCAGTATTGTGTTAATCAGTAATACGAATGGTCAAGATATTGGCAGTGATGTAGCTTTGGAACCTGGGTGCAGCTTTTGTATTCAATTCTATGTTGAAAACAATTAAATACTGAATCAATCATATTAATTGGAATTTTAGAGCCTAGAGGCATGCTGAAAGAAAGAGCGATGGTGTGAACTTGAATGTCTTGAGAACTATCTTGGAGATCAACTCATTTTTGTTTTGAATTTTCCTGAAAGTTGCTTTTTGGCGTCCTTGTCTGTGTATGTCACAACATCCTCTATTTATCCTCCTTAATCATAATTTTAGTTGGCATTCTGTTTAACTTCTTTTTAGAGGTCATAGAGAAGTTTCTGTATTCCCTGGAAGCTGTACTACTGGTAGCAATAAATAATAGAAGCTTCTTTCTAAAGGCCTTAAATATTCACGAGTGTTCATATTAAGGATATCTTAGTTACTATATGGTTCTTTGATCCAAATTTTGACAGTTTCAATGGGTCATTATTTGTTTAACTTGGTTGTTTTATATCTTGTAGAGATAAAAATATAAATATTTTTTAAGAAGCTTTTAACAAATTATCATTCTTATTTGTTAGTTCTGGTTAATTAAGGAACCTTATTGATTGAGAGTAGCAATTCATAATCTTAGTAGTTCTTATAAAATTGTACTTCACGTCAAAACTTATGTACTGAAATGGTCGCATTGAGACCTTCTCAAATAATCCTTCTGAAAATCTATAACTTGTAAATTAAGGTTAGCCAGTTTGAGTTGAAACTCATTTACTATGATATCGTCGAACCTTTAAAAAGGCAGCCTCATTGGTCAATATAAAATGTCTTCTTTGTGTATAGCATGAGGGGAACTCATTGTGTGACTGCTTCACATGTTTGAGCAGAATACATTGTTGCAGAAACCATAGGAGTTGAGGAGAGAGTGATGGATCGCAATCGAAGTCCACAAGGTTGGTGTATTCTTATCCAGGTTCTGATTTGCTGATAAAGCTTTCTTTCCTCAGTATGTTTAGCAAGGAGAGAGGTCATCTTCATTGTGAAATTGCAGGTGAAACTGCCCAGATTCTTGTAGAATTCTTAGAAGTTGCCATTACGTCAGTTGTGTTCCTCAAAGGAGTTTACCCAAGTGGTAAAAGAAAAAAAATTAGCAGAAATTCAGAGCTCTATTTTACTGCTTAAGCTAGAAAACCTCTGAATTGGATCTTGTTCTATGAAGGGGCTTTTGAAAGGCGGCGTTACATGAATGTTGTGGTTCAAAGAGCTAGACACCCGGAGCTTCAACAATATATCCATTCTTCTGTCAATGGACTTCTTCCTTTCATACAAAAGGTGTATTACATTTCTTTTCAACTGTCCCATAATAGTTAATTGCTCATCTTGGGTACTGGAGCTAATGTGTGAATAGATATTTCTAACTTCCCCCTTCCTCTCGCCACATTGTCCCCCCTTTCCCCTCAGGGGAAAAAACAGAGGAACTTTTTGTCGTGTCCTTAAACTTATAACAATTTATTGATCTTGTTTATCAGACAAATGTTATTGCTTTTGCAAGGGAAATGAGAGATTGGCCTATAGGCTGTTATACTTGTGCTATCGTTGTTCGTCAAAAGTAATCATGCTTCTTTTCCCACAGGGATTAGTTGAGAGAGTGGCGGTGATTTTTTCTGATAGCAACAATGTACCTATCGAGAGATTTGTTTTCAAGATAAATGTAAACCAATCCTATGGTTCGAAGTTGGAGGAAGCTGATCTGGAGTTCTCTCTTAAATCATTTTTGATCAAGCTTCCTTTGTCGCAATCGTTAATGAAGGTTCTTCCACCAGGTAAGCTAATTAGGAACTTCATATTAAACGCCACTATAAATCTTCTTTTAATGACATTATATGTACTTAAAACTTAACTATCCAAAGGACAGGGAAAAAGAATGCTACACCCCAAAGCAACCTTAGTTGAATTTGTTTAGCCAAAAAGTGTATATATATATATTGGCATCTACAACAATGTGAAATTGGCATGGCTGAAACTTATTCTGTATCATGTATTTTGTACAAATTGATTTATATTGGATCTGTGACTTCAAATCGACAAAAAGCAATTCAAAGAATCCTACTAGTTAATGATAAACTTCAACGACAGATGAATATTTTGTCGAACAAAAGTGGTTTGCTTGGCTAATGGTTATGTATTGTAGCAAATATTTTGTTGTCAATCGCATTGTAGGACAATAATTGTCAGTTTACATGGTTCAAAGGATGAGATATTATTTTTGTTTATCCACAACTTGATACATAAGCCTTTAGCTTTTGCAATTTGCCTTTGTGAGAATTAGAAGTGGATTCCTCAAATTGTTAGCTTTGATAGATTGCAGGTGGGAGATAACAGCTTACTTCCACTCTCTCCCGCAGAGTGGTACCAGCAAAGATGCTGAAATTTGGGTCCCAACAGATACTCAGCAGTGGCAACAAGCACCTCTTATAACTCCTATTAAGTCCATGAGTAGTGAACCTCTAGGTGTTCAGCTATATCTTGAACATCCAAGTCTCTCTGAACCAAAGGCTTAGAGGGAGGTCATCTCAGAGGCATTTGTCATGGATCTCTTCCAACAGAATTAGTAAAGGTGTGCCAATATCTCATGCTGGTGTGGTTCCTGACATCTTTCCACTTTTCATACCATTCTCTTTTCAACCATTAGCTATTCGAAACTCACTTGCCTGACTTATGCACAGGGACTCAAAGAAAACATAGTTATGTCACCAGATTATCTTGTAAAGATCCTGATATACATGTTGATCAGTTTTATCTGGGTGCCCATCATCGTTTGGAAGTTCATTTCCTTACAATTACAGTGTAGAATTTAAACTGGTTGGCCAATCTATTCCAAAAGTACTCTTGTGTCATATGTACTCAAACTATTTATTTGAGTATATGAATGATTTTAAACATTTATTATGTGAATTTTGAATTGATTTTTTAATTCTATTTTATCAAAATATAAAAAATAAAACTAACAAACTTTATACTATAAGATTTTACAAGTAGTGAATATAGTTTCGTGTAACTAATTGTCAAACGTGCCCAACACCAAGCTTGCTTTACGTAGTCCCACCATTTGTTAGATTATATAATTATCTCGCATAACGATTGAAACGGTTAAAGATGGGAACAATCTCTATTCCACAAAGGTATGAGCAATGTCTACTTACATTTTCCCTCTTTAAACACATGATCTCAATGAGATTGATAATACATTTCCTCTCAAAATGCATTGATTTGGAACCCATTCATCAAGATACTTGATCTTAGTTGGAACAAGCATGTTGCCACCAGAAGCAAAAACACGTACACCCATATTTCTTCTGGAGAACCTCCTAATTGTCATAACAATTAGAAAGAGGGGATTTACACGAGATACGGGGAAGAGGAGTATTGGCAAAGTCAATTTAACCCCATTCGTACACCATTGACTTCTTTGATCAAGTCCCAACAATTTTTCATATACATGAAGCAAAAGGATCAAGTTACATATACATGAAGCAACAGGTAACAAGACCTCTTAATTTCCATAATAATGCCAAGACATAATGGTCTCAAATAGAAAGAAAAACTAACTAGTCAACAGGCTGCAACAAAAAGAACCATTCTGTACAAACTTATGGCAGACAGCCAAAGATCTGAAATAGTCACAACTCACTTACCCATGTGAGTTAAGATCCTACTAATCAGGGCTTCTTTCTTTCCAGTGACAGGAAGGTTATGTGCACCTAGGTAATACTTCAATTCTACAACTGTCAAGTCCTTCAACTGCAATATCGCAAAAAAAAAAGTGAAATACAAATATAATAAGTGAAACAAATGGAATTTTATGATGTGCATTCTGAAAAAGCTTCAGCCTTTGACAACAGCTTTGGCCGAAGTATTTTTTGTGCCTATCTCACTAAAAGTTTCTCATTCACTAGAAGCACAAATTGTTCCAACTAATTTATCTAACCCAAACCACATCACCTCATAAATTATAGATTGGTTACATTTTGGATCTGTTATAAAGCCCATAACTGAGGCAAAATATATATATATAGCATAACATCATAAGCTTGGCAATGTTACCTTCCCATTATCTGCAAGGTCAGACCAGTCATAATTACCATATTCTTTTATAGCATTTGCTTTTCGTTTCCTTGTTGGTTCAGCTTTTCCTTCAATGTTTGAGTCCTCTTCCTCATAGTTCTCTCCATAAACAGAGAGCTTGAATTCCTCCAATGCTTTGACAATACCAGGCCTTGCACCAAAACAAGATACAAGCAAAGGAAATTTCAGAATAACAAATTTTCTAAACATAGAGGCAAGTTGAAGACTAAAAAAGACCAAAACCACAGACTAAAGGGACCTAAGATGGTGGAAATTCGTCACTACCTGGCCATTCCTTCTTCATCTGGAAGAGTCTCGTCTTTAATTTCAGGCATCTCATCTTCATCAAGTGCAAGAGCTTGTAATACTGCATAATGTCTCTGCAATGCTGCAAGAAATGATCTTGTAAGAATACAAAAGGAAGGGGTACTCCACTTCTATAAATAAGGGGCATTCCACTTCATACAGTTCTGTAGAAATTATGAATGCCTGTTAATTGGAAGGGTGTCCAATGAAATAACTCTGCAAGTCATTGTTTGAAGCGAAAATTCTTTTGAAGCGCATGACTTCACGTATGAAGCGATGACCCTTTGCTTTGCATCATTTAATTGCTTTAGATATGAAGCACTGGAACAGAAATTAAACACCTTTGCAAGACTTGTGTTTGAAAGTCCCTTTTTTGAAGTTCATAAGTAGATTCTGCAATTTACATTTTACACTACCTAGAAATGTTTAACAAATTACATCAGAAACTTTGCTTCTTTTGGATGTCCACCCTATAATTGAACTTATTACTTTTCATTTGATCAACAAAGAGATGGATCAGTTAGTCCAACCCAACGGTAACATCAAGCTCCAGAAAGGCTTCCATCTCACCTCATAAAATTATCAGCCCATTCAACACCTATTCTTTAGTTGCCCAGTAACTGGTAGTATATGGAAAAGGTTATTACAGTGGCAAGGCATCTCAAGATTGAACTAAGGATGGAAGGATGGAAGGATGAAGTGCAATGGGCGCAGAGGTATTGCAAAGGGAAAAGCAAAGGTGCAGGTGTTTATAAGATGGTGTTAGCTGCTGCAGTGTGGCATGAAGGAATTTTAGAATTTTTCAGCAATCTACAAGGCCACAACATGTTATCATTAAGCAGATTGTCCAGGAGGTTTTCCATAGAGCTACAATGGTGCCTGAGTTAGCATCTTACATGACTAAACTGGATTGTTACCCAGAGTGATGTTGCTTGTTTGGGGACGAGGTGTTAGGAGGTCTACGTGAGCTGCAGGGTGCATCTGGCATGGGATTAATACTAGTCAGTGCAGGCCCTTTGTAGTAGGTTTCTTCTGTTTGTTTTTATCTTCTTGAGATGTAACACTTACTTTGGTAAATAATATAATTTGCTTACCAAAAAAAAAAGCTTCAATTTGGAATAGAAATTGCACATATAGTGGCAGCACAAAACAATGATCTCCTTTCCCAAGCAATGATTTCTTACCAGGATTAGCAAATTGGCACACAGAAAAATCTTTGAGGTCAATACGTTTCACTAAAGCGGAGGCCTTCTTTATCTGGTCGTCAGTGGCATGAGGCACGGAATTAGGATCAGTATGAAGCTGCAAGTAAAACCACATTCGTTAGATATAGACTTCATGATTTTTCAAAATAGAAAAAGAAATCAATTGTGACTAAGACATAATCTGCCTGCCTCTTCAACATGTCTGATATCATCAGAATATGGAAGATAAATCAGATGCATCCCTGGTGGCTCAACTTGACCACTAGGAGTCATTATTTCATCCTGCATTTATCAAAAACCATGAAAATGGAAGACCAAACAGGTAAAAGTTTGTCATTATTCACAACTTCACAGAGAAAAGAATACACCAAAAAAGGCTACTCCCTCCACCCAATTTCCACTGAGAAGTTTGAATGCACTTGAAAAAATTTACAAGGTATGCTGGACTTGCAAAAAATTATCAAAAAGAGTGCTGGTGTCACCAAAACACCCCTCCACCCCTCCAGGAAAAAAAAAGGCATGGTCTTGCAAAAAGTGATCACGAAAGAGGTGAGAATATTGAACTCTGAAAAGAAAAAGGGAAAACTTTCACCTCGCATGAGGAGCGAGTAGGCATAAGCTACTTAAGTCCCTATCAAAATCGTAGAGGCTCCAATACCATTTGAAAAGAGAATTTTTTTTTAAAAAAAAAAAGAGAGAAGAAACTCTCATGAAAATTAGCGAAACACACAAGACAGTAATGGAAGTTCTTTTAATTCTTGGAATCCTGAAATTATGATCACACAAGGATTAAGAATGTCCGACTTAATACTTCTTAGTAGATCTCTTTTGAATTTCACGAACAAATAAAGTCGTTAAGACTATTCTTAGTGATTGAATCAAATTATATACTTGGATTGTTGTCTCACTATCACACTCAACACATCCTTCAGTGCATGTCAGAGGTGATGGCAATCACTGATCCCAGCAATCACAGGTGCATAAATAGGCATATTTAGTCTACATATAATCCGAAAGGATTTGGAGGGGAAAAACAATGTCTTACTTGTGCAACAAGAGCAACCAATTGAGGATGACTTGAATTCCCATAGAAAGCAACTGCAAAACTGCGATGATAGTTTAAAGTCAAACACAAAACAGCAACACATTCAGCAAGCACAGCAACAGAAAGATCATGAACTTATTTCTACAGTCGAGAAAAAATAAACATTTGCAAACTAATCTTAATGCGAGAAGGCAAGCAGAAAAATGCCCATAAGTCAGCAGCATGTGCCACTTCCGTAATGGTTGAGATCAAAGCAAACTAGCACTACTGCAGACTGTTTATATACAACTTCAAACAAGATTTAGCACAGTGGGATGCTGAAGAGTAGTTCAAACTACCTAAGATAAGGTGAAATGAGAAGGAGAGAAAGACAACAAAACAGTTGCGTGAATTACTTTAGACAAAAGGCTGGCTAGAGACACATTTTTCGTATTTAAATAGACAAAACAGTATGAACAGTGACCAAAATGAAAATGAAAACCCAGTTGAATGTAGAATGGATGGACTTTTACCTAAGAAAAAGAGCATCCAGCCACTTCTAAATAGAGATAACAGGTCAAAACATGCAAAACTGGACTTATCACTCCCTACTATTAACTTAACCCTGTTTGCTAATTAAATTAACAAAATTTTCAGGCATACTAACCGCTTAAGCCGCAACATTGATCTGTGGAGAGCAACGAAAAGACAAGTGCTTCCAACCACTTCCTGCAAGGACCAAGGAGAAGCAATAGAATTGATAATCATGGAAATGACATATTATAAGAGATAGTGAAAAGTATTCCCAATTGATGGATTCAAAGTGGTAAAGTTGTATGGTAAGAAATCATTGGTACTGCATAGTCCAAGCTGTTAAAGCTAAATTTGATTAACTATGCCACAAGGACATGAAGATAGATATAAAAATGTAGAAATAAAGCACAAATCAAGTTGACTCGTCAGACTCGTTTCTAGATGTAGTTTTAAAAGGTGAAATGATCCAATCCAATATCCCATCTGTCAGCAATATAAATTGACAAAAACTACCATATTTTAAAGAGTGTTTTAAATAAAAAAATTTAACTAGTAGCAGTTGGACTAATATTAACCAGCTTAGCTTGTCGAGAATGAAGACGCCTGATGACTGTGAATAACCTTTAACTATGACCATATACTGAATCAAAAGAAGAAAAATGAAGGTGGATTATTGAAAAGAACACCTCATCACTGGGAAAGACAAAAGTTGCTGGCTTCAGGTTATGATAGTCCTTTAAGCAGCTCAATGGCTTGAAGCCCAGCAGACGAAGATGTCCAGTTGAAACTCTTTTGACTTCTGAAAGCTCATCCACAGAAAACATGACATTCTCACTGAAACAAAAAGGGACAAGACATCAGTGAATGACTGAATAAGTATACCAGAGTCGAGTTGGGTTTGTCATTTGGTAATTAAGTGAAGCAAAATTTAGCAAATCAAGGAAACTCAAATTTGAATTTTTTCTAGGATACCCAAGTTCACTACATAATCTTTTTTTCTAGGATACCCAAGTTCACTACATAATCTTTTTCAATACATAAATGGTGAGGATTTAACACCCTGTTCCAAGTCCCAATGTATCCATACTCTCTTAAATTAATCAGAAAATTTTGGAAAAAATGCAACAAGAGAGCACTGTTAGGAGCTGAATACTAATATAGTTTGTGGAGAGGCTTGGTAATGTTTTGACTTCTCTTTGGATAATCTGCAAGGAGATTGTGCTACCTTTGATTTTGTCTTTTTTACTATCTTCTGGAAGTACGAGCTATCGTTAGTGGTTAAATTTTGAAGTGTTTTCAAAGAAACAAAAAATAATTCACTCTACCCGTTGGAAGTGAAAAGGTTTTACTGAAATTGATTGTTGACAAGATACGAGAACACTCCCTATATAGGATATAGGAGGTTGAGCAACATGAAATAGGGAAGGTCTCTTACAATTTTTTGGGTTCTGAAATATGGCACATTCTTTTTATGATGGTGGTATCTGGTCAAATTGTGTGCACCTCGACTAATTTCATCTAATATCTACTACAAAATAAAAAAATATATATATACACACAATAAGAAGATTTGGAAGAAACATGAAAAATGCCACCCACACACATTTATCTAAAATAAGGATAATTGAAGAGAGAAGCCTAGATTCAGAGTAGAAGAAAAAGGAGTCATTCTTTTAAGAAACAGATACCGACTTTTTGTAAGACTGAAAGCGTTTTGGAGGCTCCTGAATTATAGCAGCAGTATCAGCACATATGAAGGATCTCTCAGCCTGTAAACAAGGAAGAACACAGAAGAGGTTAAAGACTTGCTTTATACCAAATCCCAACACAAACCAGAACTGACATTTCATTAACTTTTCTACCAACTTCAATGATAAGTGACAACTTGGAAATGGTGACTTACCCTAGTAAGTGGGATTCAGAAACAAGCTGACACAAAATTCCTCAATAACTTACCAAATATTAATATGACATGGCAAAAAATATTGTCGCTGCATGCATGAAATATGTGTTGAATCTGAGCGTCCAACAAAACAATTTAAGGCAATGGACAGAACAGCTCAGACCTTTAGAAATTCCTTATACGAAGTTGAGTCTTCTTTTTATTGGGAAAAAATATCCTATATGGGGCATTATGTAGCTCCACAACCACCTGTAACACCTTCCCAACATACAGCCCACCGTGAAGTTAATCCCATTACGTATAACAGTCTATCCAATTTCAACTATGTTATACATAAATGTTCCCCAGCATACCCTCTCTCACCTACAGCCCCCAACTGTTTTTACTTCTTATCTTCTACTATGCAAACATTATACAAATTTAAATGCTTAGACTTGAACCTACATAAAAACCAAACCAATCAACTCCTCCTCAATCTCAAACTCATTGGGGCCAGCTATAATAATCCTCTATGCCCAACCCGCTCTAGGCTGAAACTATTTTATTCTAAAACTAAGGGCCGGTTTGTCATAATATTATTTCAATATTTACAAACACGGCACATCAGTATTTGCAAAAACTTGTTTGGCCATAAATATACAAGCATTTGAACACTAGGTGAAAGATTGAGGTATTGGTTTAAAGGTGTATTTCAAGTGAAACACAGGTTTCTAATCTCAAATCTTCAACTACCACAAAATACTTCTCCATTCATTCTCGAACACAACTTTAACTTGTGAGAAATATATGAGAAGAATATTATTGAATTGTTGCTGTTTACATTATTTCATTGAGACCCTATTTATAGACCCTAGAATACAATCCTTTACCAAGTAGGATACTATTTAGTATTCCTATTTCTATTTCTATTCCTATTCCTATTCCTATTCTAATAGGATTGTATAAACTTATTCCTATTCTAATAGGATTGTATAAACCTATTCCTATTCTAACACTCCCCCTCAAGCTAGTGCATACAATTCATGTACCTAACTTGTTACAAATGTAATTAACACGAGGACCGATGAGGGGCTTGGTGAGATATCTGCAAGTTGATCACTCGACTTCACAAATTTGACAATCAATCTCAATGGGCTTGGTCTTCTCATGAAATACTGAATTTGATGCATAATGCTGATAAAACAGAGAGTGATAAAATTACAGTGTTGAACTTCCCAAACCAAGCTTGCAAAGACTGTTTCAGACCATAGAGTGACTTACGTAATCAACATACAAGGCTACTAAACTCCCCCTGAGCAACAAAATTAGGTGGTTGCTCCATATAGACTTCTTCACAATGCAACGGTCGCCGAAAGTGCTCAAAATCTAGTATAAAGTGTATGGATCATGTTGGAATCAATAGACGTGTCAGTATTTAACAAGAAAGTCACCGAAAAACTGGCCGGAACATGCTCATATGCCGGAGTATTAGATTTGATGGATAAAAGTGGTCACAATCTAAGAAATAAAATTATATGGGTAGGGTCGGAATTATGTCACGACCCAACTAGAAAATAGAAATTATATAGGATAGTTCGAATTGATGGAACGACCTCCATTGAAAAAGAGAAATAATATGGGTAGGGTCGGAATGATGACACGACCCTACTGAAAAAAGAAAATTATATGGGTAGGGTTGGAATGATGGCACAACCCTACGCAAATCAGATTTGAGGAGTCACCGAAAAGACGAATGGAACTATGCAAATCAAATCTGAGGAGTCACTGAAAAGACACATGATACTATGCAACTCAGATATGAGAAAATAGTTCGGAAAAATCCACGATACTACACAAATTAAATATGAAAAGTAGTCCGGAGAGATGCACGGTGCTACGCAAATCAGATATGCAAAAAAGGTAGTCACCGGAAGGATGACACGGTGCTACAAAAATTATATATGAAAAGTAGTCACTGGAATGATGGCACAGTGCTACACAAATTAAATATGACAAAGTAGTCACCGGAAAGATGGCACGGTGCTACGAGTTAGATATAAGAAAGTAGTCACCGGAATGATGGCACGGTGCTTACATAAATCAAATATGAGAAAATAGTCACCGAAAAGATACACGGTGACCCAACTTTTGCTAACATAATTGTTGGCCAGACGGGTGGCATATATGAGTAATAGCCGCCCACCAGCAGCGGAAACACTTTGATTGTTTACTAAGATCGTAGAGGATCTGATACCATGTGAGAAATATATGAGAAGAATATTATTGAATTGTTGCTGTTTACATTATTTCATTGAGACCCTATTTATAGACCCTAGAATATAATCCTTTACCAAGTAGGATACTATTTAGTATTCCTATTTCTATTTCTATTCCTATTCCTATTCTAATAGGATTGTATAAACTTATTCCTATTCTAATAGGATTGTATAAACCTATTCCTATTCTAACATAACTTTCACAAACTTTTTTCAATTTCAACTATAATACTTCTCATTTAGTAAACCTTGTGTCCTAGATCTAACACAGCTAGTAGACACATCCATCCATCACTAATCTGAAATAGAGAGTAATAACTTCTCCAATGAACTCCATCAGCTCTACGAGTTTGGTTTCCCATATAAAAAATAGTAATTTCGGTGTAGTAAACAGTATAAAACACAACATTTAGATTAGAAAGCTGAGTACCCAAAACAAGAGCTTGATGATGAATTGGCTGTGGAAATTTGTCTCACCAGAAGTATATCTATGGAAAGAAGTAATGCTAGAAAAATATGGCATGGAGGACAAATGGATGACAGAGGTGGTGACCAACCCTTACAATTGTAGTGTATGGAGATCTATCAGGAACCTATGGCAACAAGTCAGGGAGAGAACAAATTGTAAGGTGGGCAATGGAGAAAAAGTAGCTTTTTGGAATGACATTTGATGTGGACAGGAGACACTCAAACATGCTTTCCCTGTACTACATAGCCTGAACCAAGCACAAGAAGCAACAATGGCAGAATTATGGACAGGACAAGGGTGGAACCTGTTTCTAAGAAGGAACCTAATTGATTGGGAAATGACAACCATAGCAAGATTTCATCACACAATGCATATGGCTACCAATCTGACAGGAGAGGAAGATAGACTATTATGGAAGGGGGGGAGAGGGGGAAGAATGCACTGTAAAATCAGCATACAGAGAACTCGATTCTACTGAGGTGCAGCAAACAGGATGGCCCTGGAGGATGATCAGGAGAACAGAAACTCCCAACAAGGTGAATTACTTCACATGGCTCTTGACAAAGGAGGCAGTCTTGACACATGAGAACTTGAACAAGAGGAAATACAATCTATGTTCTAGATGCTATCTATGTGAAAACAGGTGGAGACGGTCAACCTTCACTTTTTACACTGCAAATGGACATGGCAGATGTTCATCCACAAGAGGAAGATCAAGTGGACAAAGCCTGGGAGAATTATAGAAGGCCTACAATGCTGGAACAGGGATGGAAATGCAGAAAAAAAAAAAAAAAAAGAGGAAATGGAGGATTGTCCTAAGCTTGCATTTGGTGGACAATTTGGAAGGAAAGGAATCAAAGATGTTTTGAAGGAAAACAGAACAATATTCAAAAGATAAAGACAAACTGTCTAGGGCTGTACTATTTTGGTGTAAGCAAGTAGTGATAGGAGTTATTGAAGATGTTTAATGTTATTGATTGGCTGTAACTAGAAGATCATAAGAATGATGTAAGTAGAACTTTTTTGGGGGGGGACTACACTTCGATGTAGTATACCTGTAGATATATAGAAGTAAATGTTACCTTTCTCAAAAAAAAAAAAAAAAAAAAAAAACAATAATTAGTTTGTGGTATAAAACTTTGCATTACTAGAAATGCATTACAATGGTAACACTGTTTAATTCCCCTATAATCACATAAGTCACATAAATAACATATAACGGGATTCTACGTATTATTTTTTCAAGATAGAATGTGAACTAAGAAAACTTATAGTATTAGAAATACCTAGATAGGAGCGCCTAAAATGCTTTAGAAGGACTTGTTTGGTAAATAACAGCATTTTCAATAAATATCATGATAATTTTCTTACAAGGTTCCCTGTTTGTTTTGCTACGGATTCATTGGCAAGATCTCCATAGGATATTCATTGACCTAAGAGTGTCTTCACATGATTGGTCGGCAAGGAAAACCAAAAAAATTGTTGTATAATTGGGACGTACAGAGAAGTGAAATGAAAAACTTATACTGGCTCTTCCACAAAAATGTGTAGCTACAAACTGCAATCACCCATCTAAAGGCTGACAAATATATTGAAAGATAGATGGTCAAATGAAATTTTTCTTTGGACGAAATGACCGTAAGAAAGAAAACAACACTGAACCCTCAATGAATAGTCAAAAGATTGCTGCAAATCCATTACAATCAGAACTAATAAAAATCAAAACCCCAAGAAGTGCAAAAGTTAGTTATGAACAATAATTCTCTTAATCCCCCTCCCACTAAACAAGAGACACACATAAACTCAACAAAATTGATAGGGAACTTCCAAAGAACAAAAGAAACAAGGTTAAAAACAAAGCATGACAATGAAGCTAAAAAGTACCTTCAAAGGAAGATTAGTCATCGAATCAAGCCAAGTAATTGTCCCTACAGAAAAATAATAAGGGTATAGCGTTTACTTATAGTCGGCTCACAGTAATCATTACCTAATAAAAGATAGGACAACAAAGGCAGACCTGGATTAGTTGGACGGATCAAAGCATAGGTGTTAAGTTCGATAGATAATCCATTAAAAATTGCAAATCTAAGTCTTCGAACTCTGCGCTTCTTAAACATTCGTTTCCTTAGCTGGTCGTTCAGATCTTCAAACCTGATATAGCAAACATAGGAAAGGAACGCATGAAAACAGGGACCAATACATTTTCAGTAAATTTAGGCTCTAAAAGAATAACAAATCTAACAGGCTCAAAGTGCACTCAACACCTTAACACCTTGCAAACTGACATTTATTATCTAGTGATCTTGATCAAAAAGAATAAAACCACAAATTTTGGAAATGCAGGAAGTTATAAAAATGCACAATTTAGTAACATAGGCACAAAACACACCACCAATCAGATTCCTACATAAATAAAGGACATGTACAAGCTTGAGCTGTTTAACAGCATACAAAGCACATACACCAGATTTTGAATGTCTGCACAAATTGCATTCAACCCAATTACTGGATCTGGTCATCTCACCTTCATGTTATTTGGTTTTCTACATTCAAGTATTCATGTCATCAATCAAGAAAACAAATGAAGAAATAAATAAAACTAACAAGTAAATTTGTGAACATTCATATCACCCTTTTGGACCCTCATTTCTCTCTGAATGCACAAAATGGATCATCTTCCTTCCATTGTCATCCACTTAAAAAAATCCTCCTTGTTCAAGACTATTATTCAAATAACTGAGTAAGTTTTCCAGTAAGCAATACCTATTGAAGAAATGGAATCTGTCCTTCGGTGAAGCCTGAAATGGGAAGGTAAAGGAGCTTTGCTGATAGTCTGGAGATTCTATATTCTATCTTTAGTATTATGCTACCTTTTTAAAAAAAAATGTATTACGCTTTTCTTAATTGCGTTTTACACAAGTTGATGTAATTTTATGTCCTTTGCATGTTCAGTCCCTCTAATTGTCGAAGTTCTAATTCTTTTTCACTGTATTCATGTCTGTTCAATGCTACTCCAATGGAACAACCACATGGTATTGGAAAATATATTTTCCTATTTTCATTTACCAGACATATAATGTCTGTACCTAATTATATTGGACAATTATCTTGTCTGTCTTGTATACCTTTGCCAGTCCCTCAGCAATCTGTCTGTATAGCAATTATTTTAGAAACTTCAGTAGTATTATATGACTCTGTTGTGTTACTTAGCCCAAAAAAACCATGCATACTCCCACACACTGTATAAATGCCTAGACATAAGGACAAATTCATCTTAAGAAACAGATAGAGAACTCTGAGTATTAATATACAAGAATCTGAATTTCAATCAGTACTTCAGTACATGTATCTTTCAAGAAATGGAGACCATAGGTGCAACCATTCATGCTTCCAGCATGAAACTTCCTAACACTACTATAAGAAGCTGTAGGAAAGAAAACTTAGGTGATTTGTTCTTCTTGAACATTAGATCAACAACTACACATTAGATGGACAACAACTAAATCGTAGTCCCAAGCAAGTTGGTCTCGACTATATGAATCACCACTTCTTTATTTACGCTCATTTCATATTGTCATCATACTAAATCTTCATGAACATTAGATCACTTAGAGAAATATCAACACAACAAATGACTACATCATCTCGATCACTGAAAGAAAGCATGACTATATGTAACAAGTTCTTATTTTGGACTCCTTTAATGAATAATTATTAATCACACTACAGTAAATTGTGTCAACAAATATCAAGTCCTTCAGAAAGTAGTTTAACATTTTAGATGGAGATTCATCAATTGACTAGTGCAATCATATGAGACAGCCATACATATACTGAGCATACTAATAAATTTGAATAGCTCACAACTATCCATGGGGAATCCTCAACAGTTGAAATCTTTTGTAAAGTATACCTCTCTCCTATCAGAGCTTTGAACTGAGCAAGGTCATCACCCTCCAGACCAAGTAAATCCTGAAGACAAAGATCTTGAATTAGATAACAACAACATGCAAGAAAGGATCTCAAAAATAAATAATGGTCATACAGCATAAAAAAGGGAAACATTGAACTCATCATCTGGCCGGCTTAGTGGAAGAAGCTCAATTGTAATACCAAGATCTTGAGCATCCTGCAACCATTAGCGCTATGAGTAGAATAGTAGTGTAATAATCATTCAAGAAGTCACAAAACAATCTCAATTTCACTCAGAGCTATCTTCACATAAATTTACTTTTTCCTTTGGGACTTGTTTTCAACTGACTATAATATTAATATATAAATATGTGGCATAGATACTATACTTTGGCACGCTGCATCGTTGTCCTCATCATATCCACTTTTATGACACCTTTGAGATTACCAAAAGGATCATCTTCATTTGTAAGCAAGAGAATGCGTTTATCAGCAGTTTTTGCAGATCTGGAAATGGTTTGAACACTAGTAAAATAAGATGGTGCACATCATTTCAGGGGAAAACAAAAAGGAAATGAGCAAATTTTACCCTTTACGGAGAAGGGCTTGTGCAACCCAAAGAGCATTGTAAAGAGAATTCTCACGAGAGCCAGGCACAATTCCGTACTTACTTCCTATTTCTTTTTCAAATCTTTCTGCAAACAAATTAAACAGGTAATTGCAGCACAAGTCTAGAAAACCAAAAAAACTCACTGTTTTTCCTTGAGTTTATTCATTGACGAGGCAAGACATTTAACTGATTGTATAGAGGATGAAGCTTTCTCAGTCCATTGACATAGCAGAAAATTCTCCGCATTATTATTAATTAAGTATGAAATAACATAATTTTAGGGTTTTCCAGTTTGCTGGTCAAACAAGGACTAATAAAGTACTCCGTACGACGATTGTGAAGAGTCAGTAAAAATGACTGCTTCTACATATATTCAAGAGCCTATGTTCCTTTAGGCAGATTGACAACAAGCCCTCTCCTCAGAGTGCAAAGTATAGAAAGCACTAAGGTTTTAAGTGCAAAAACTGAAATTTAAGTGTGGGCTTTAACGAAGAAAGGTGCTAATGAAGCAAAATTAAGAGTACCTTCATGGATGAGTTTTTCCTCTTAAGTCTGAGAAACAGCTCATATTTACAAGGGAAAAAAAGATGAAAAATGATGATACAACAACTTGGCACGAGTCACTTTGCTTATGCGAATTTTGACTGCAATGATGTGACCTAAGATGAAGCAATTTGAGGACCAATGTTGAATCTAGTCAAAACAGAGATAGGTGCAATACTACACGCCCACCAAAAACTAAATTAGAGACCAATATGATGATTTACCTTCTATTTGATCAAATTCTTTAATTAGCCTAGCTGTTGGTCTGTCCAGATCCTCTCTTTCTGGAACATTAAATACATAAACGCCACTTAGGTCCTGCAAGTTCTTTTTTTCCCGCTGAAATCACAAAAAAAGAACATAAGAAAAAATCATCACTAAAAAAAATTCTCAAATTTGGTTTTCCCTTATCAAAATTTGGAAATACTAACAATAGGAAACAAAAACTCGAAACAGGTGTTAGTTAGGGGGGAAATAGCAAAAACAAATCTGCCTTGATAGAAGTGGTTTTTAACCCACCTAGTCTGCTGCATAACAAGAGCACATACATCTGGCCCACCTAAATAATATTTGATCAGACTTATACAGTACAAGGAAGACTTGGATCCCACAAGTAAATGAAAATCTATGTCCACATTCTTTTAGAATAAAGGAAAATACAAATCCACACAGAATTCTCAAGTTACAACCAAGGTGGAAAAGAAGGCCCAGCAAAGGTTAGTTCAGGATTTAATTTTTTTTTTTTGGGGGGGGGGGGGGGGGGTAAGTATAACTCTGAAATAATTTTGTAGATAGAGAAAAGCAGCGCGATTAAGGATATTATATCATATTGTCAAAGACACAGCTTCAGATGTACAGCTTCTAGGGAACAAGGGCTTACAGTGTTAAAGAAGCATATAGAAACTTCATCATAAGACCTATTAATAATCTGAGTTCTGAGAGATTGTGCAATGGAATTGATGGCAACTTGAAAATGAGTTGCAGTCTTTTCATCATCCTGCAAAAATGAAGAAATGAGTGGGATTCCACATTTACAATCAAAAGGTGAAAATGCTAAAGAAAATTGAGAAGATGCTTTTAAGAAAAATAGGCCTCCTAGGATCCCCTAAAATATTTTAATGAAAGTAACACAAACAAGGTGCCAAATATTGGTTTGGAACCTGCTGTTAGCCCAATTAAGCCTTTCATTCCTCCAGTGATGCAAGTCTACAGATATTACAAGTCAGTTAGTGGAGGGATTCATTAGTTAGTTACAATTTTGTTATTCTGTTATAACAGCCAGTGTAGCAGTTGAATTTTAGTTGTGGAATATATCCATATATACAATGTAAAGGATTGGAGTTTAAGGCATTGAATGATAATACATTTCTCTTTCTTCTAAAATTCTCTTTCTAATATCTCAGCTGCAAGCTCTAAATTAGTATCTTAGTTCTTCGAGTTCAAAGCTCCTAGAATTGTTCTTCGTAGTTGATGCTTAATTGACTGCCATTGTGCATCAATTGGTATCAGAGCTAGCGATCTTTGGCATGATGGTGACCAGAAGTAAGAATCAAGATAAATCAGTGGAAGAGATGGATGATCGATTAGCCCAGATCCAAGATCAGTTGACGAATCTGATGGAGGGGATGACTAGCATGAACGATAGGAATTCACAAATAGAAAAGGAATTGTATGAGATCAAGGAAACCATTGGCCGATTGGGAATTAAGGGCAAAGAAAAGGAACTGGGAAGAGCAGAATCTTCAACGGATAAGGCCTGTTCAGTTGAATCACAGCATGAAATCGGACACAAGGAAACTCACAGCAATTCTGGTAATCTCTTCACTCAATTTTCTAGATTAGAATTCCCTAGATTTTCTGGTCAAGATTTAAGAACGTGGTTGTATAAGGTGGACCAATTCTTTGCTATGGATGAGGTTGCATTCGACCAGCGGGTACAAGTAGCTTCAATTCACCTAGAAGGGGAGGCAATTGCTTGGCATAGGTCGTATATGAGGTCTAGAAGTTGTGTAGCTGATCCTTCATGGACCGAGTATGCCTTGGCTTTGAATGAAAGATTTGGGGAAGAGTTTGAGGATTCTATGGAGGCTTTGAAGAATCTAACTCAAACAGGCAGTGTGAAGGAATACCAAGCTGAGTTTGATAGATTATTAACAGGAGTGAATCTGTCAAATGAGAATACTATCAGCTGTTTTTTGGGTGGGCTAAAGCCAGAACTAAACAAATCTATCAGGATGCAGTCACCAAGAACACTACTACAGGCCTATAAACTTGCTAGGTTACAAGAGGATGTTTTTGATGCACAAGCGAAGACATGGGGTTTGAAACCTATGGTCAGACCAATACAGGGACCAATTCTACCTACTCCTACTCATGTTAAACCAACTAATTTCTCTCAAAAACCATTTACACCAAATTCCACATATAGGAAACCAGTTGATTCACAGGTTGCTAAACCTAACAGATTCACTGGTAATGGGTTGGGAAGGAGGCTGACTGCTACTGAGATGAGAAAAGGGCTAAAGGCCTTTGTTTTTTTTTGTGATGATAAATATGTGGTTGGTCACAAGTGTAGGTCCAATAAACAATTTTTTCTAGTGGAAAGAGAAGATGAGGAGTTGGTTCAAGAAGAGGTAGTGCAAGACCAAATACAAGAAGACAACGAGGAAGTTGATGAATTCATGACCATATCCTTACAAGCTTTCACAAGAGTGATTGGTTATCAGACTATTAAAGTGGCTGGCTATCATGAAAAGAAACCCTTGCAGGTTTTAATTGATATTGGGAGCACACATAATTTCATTGATCAAGAAGTAGCCAAGAGGTTAGGATGTCAATCCACCACTATTATGGCCCAATCAATTAGTGTTGCTGATGGCAGGAAGGTGCAAACAGGTTTAGTGTGCAAAAATCTAACATGGCTTTTGCAGGGTACTACATTTACCTCTGATTTCTTGTTGCTACCATTGGGTAATGTGGACATTGTCCTGGGGGTACAATGGTTGAATACCTTGGGTAGAATCTTGTTTGATTTTCAGAATAAAACCATTGAATTCAGGTATCAAGGTAAAAAACATGTCTTCAGAGGAGCTAGTAGTCAGCTAAAGTCAGCAAGGACCAAATCAATAAATAAGGTTGAGTCTGATGAGACTCAATTCTTCATGATGTCATTATTATTTGGTTCAGAGGATAGGTTGCAGTGCTACAACATTCATGCTGACCAAGGTAACTTAGTTCATCCAGCATTATCCTTGTTAATTGACCAATATGCCAGCATTGAGATTCCTACTACACTGCCACCTCATAGAAGGTCTTTCGATCATCGCATACCACTGGTTGAGTTGGCCAACCCAGTGAACAAAAGACCTTATAGGTACCCAGGGGTCAAAAAGGATATTATAGAGAAACTTGTACAGGAAATGATAGATCAGGGGGTCATACAGCATAGTACTAGTCCTTATGCTTCGCCAGTTGTGTTGGTTGGCAAAAAGGATGGTAGTTGGAGACTTTGTGTAGATTACAGGGAGTTGAATAACTTGACCATTAAAGACAAGTTTCTCATACCCATTATAGAGGACCTCTTGGACGAGTTAGGAGGTTCCATGGTATTTTCAAAGATTGACCTTAGAGCTGGATATCACCAACTGAAAATGTATGAAAATGACATCTAGAAAACTACCTTTAAGACTCATGAAGGACACTATGAATTTTTGGTAATGCCTTTTGGCTTAACTAATGCTCCATCATCCTTCCAAAGTCTTATGAATTCAGTTTTTAAGCCACTACTGAGAAAAACTGTTTTAGTTTTTTTTATGACATACTTATTTACAATAAAAGTATGGTCGATCATATTGAACATGTGAGGGCAGTCTTTGAACTAATGCAGCGATTCCAACTATATGCAAAAATGTCTAAATGTGCCTTTGGAGTGCCTAAAGTGGAATATCTAGGCCACTTCATTAGTGGTGAGGGGGTGTCTACAGACCCCAAGAAGATTGTAGCAGTAGCACAATGGCCTATTCCTAGCAATATCAAGGAGTTGAGGGGGTTCTTGGGACTTTCTGGATATTACAGAAGGTTTATACAAGGATTTGGATCCATTTGTAAGCCATTACATGAGTTACTCAAGAAGGATGGATATACTTAGACTGAGCATGCTACAACAGCATTTGAGGAACTAAAGCAAGCCTTTATTTTTGCCCCAGTATTAGCTATGCCTGATTACTCTAAACCTTATGTGGTGGAAACTGATGCAAGTGGGAAGGGAATTGGTGTTGTGCTAATGCAGCAAGGCCACCCTATAGCATCTATTAGCAGGCCACTGGCTCCTAGACACCAAGCCATGTCTGTCTATGATAGGGAACTAATGGCTCTTATATTTGCTGTCACTAAATGGTCCCACTATTTGATAGGAAGGCCCTTCATTGTCAAGACTGATCAAAAAGCTTTGAAGCATTTGTTGGAACAAAACCTCCACACTGACTTTTAGGTGGCTGGTATTTCCAAACCAATGGCTTTCGACTTTTCAATTGAATATAAGAAGGGTATAGACAACAAAGTTGTTGATGCCTTATCTAGGAAGCCTGATGCTAAGTTATTAGCTATCTCCTTATTGACACCTAATGATTCTCTATATGAGCAGATCAAGGGAACTTGGTTAACTGATGCATCTTTGCAGACTTTGATTACTAAATTACAGGTTCAGCCTTTCAAGTCTTTTACTTGGTGTAATGCTCAGCTTAGGTGGAAGGGTAGATTGGTAGTTGGAGCCAATTCCCACTTGAGAAAGACAATTATTTCATTGTGGCATTCTACAACACAAAGTGGACATTCTGGCATGAATGCTACCATTAAGAGGATACAATCTCTATTTTATTGGAAGTCTCTAAGTCAGGATGTGAGGGACTTCATCAACAAATGTGATGTCTGTCAGAGGCACAAGTATGATGTTTCTGCCTATCCAAGCTTACTGCAGCCTTTGCCTATTCCAGATGGAGTATGGACCAATGTGTGTTTAGACTTCATTGAGGGCTTACCTAAGTCCAATGGCAAAAATGTTATCTTGGTGGTGGTTGATAGGTTGAGCAAATATGGCCATTTCATGAGCCTACAACATCCTTATACTGCTCAGTCCGTAGCACAGTGCTTCTTGGACAATGTTTTTAAACTTCATGGCATGCCAGCTACATTGACAAGTGATAGAGATCTTGTGTTCCTTAGTAAATTCTGGCAAGAATTGTTTACAATACAAGGGGTTCAGTTCCAGAGGAGTACTGCTTATCATCCTCAAACAGATGGACAAACGGAGGTTTTGAATAGGACATTGGAAACTTATCTGCGATGTTTTTGTTCTGATAGCCCTAAGGAATGGTCAAGTTATTTACCGCTTGTTGAGTGGTGGTATAATACTACTTATCACACTGCTATCAAATGCACTTCTTATGAAGTTTTATATGGTCAGAAACCCCCCATTCACCTTCCTTACTTAGCAGGTGAGTCTTCATCTGACATGGTAGATAGATCATTGGCTGCTAGAGAAGCAATCATTCATCTTTTGAAGTTTCATATTCAAAGAGCCCAACAAAGAATGAAAGACTTGGTTGATCGACATAGGTCTGACAGATGTTTCGAGGTAGGAGATTGGGTTTACCTTAAGCTGCAACCTTATAGGCAAGTTTCAGTTGTTGTTAGACCCTTTAACAAGTTGGCTGCTAAGTATTTTGGTCCCTATCCTATTGCTGCTAAAGTTGGAGTGGTTGCCTATAAATTACTTTTGCCAACTGATGTCCTAATTCATCATACATTTCACGTCTCTCAGTTGAAGAAGTGTCATGAGGTCCCATATGTCATCAATCATCCACCTGTGTTTCATTTGTCCAGTCCATATTTCCCTATGCTTGAAGGTGTGTTAGACAGGAGGCTTGTGAAAAGAGGCAACAAGGTTGTAGTTCAAGTGCTTGTGAAGTGGACTGCTATTGATTCTTCTCAAGCTACTTGGGAATACTTGTCTGACATTCAACATAGATTTCCTTCCTTTCAGCCTTGAGGACAAGGATGTACTTTTGTAGGGGGTATTGATGCAAGTCTACAGATATTACAAGTCAGTTAGTGGAGGAATTCATTAGTTAGTTACAATTTTGTTATTCTGTTATAACAGCCAGTGTAGCAGTTGAATTTTAGTTGTGGAATATATCCATATATACAATGTAAAGGATTGGAGTTTAAGGCATTGAATGATAATACATTTCTCTTTCTTCTAAAATACTCTTTCTAATAACTCAACTGCAAGCTCTGAATCAGTATCTTAGTTCTTCGAGTTCAAAGCTCCTAGAATTGTTCTTCGTAGTTGATGCTTAATTGACTGCCATTGTGCATCATCCAGGCTCCAGCTGCAAGTTCAAATCACACCAACAAGACACCAGGAATATCGCATGAACCATTTTTACAATTGTGCTTTGAAAGCTATGCTAAGGAGGTTGATTATTGATATGATAGGATCCTTGTGAAGCAGTAGCTTAAGCTTGGTTGGGATTTTGTAAAGTCTTTTTGCCCTGTTATGGTGCAACTTTAATATATATATTCATTACAAGTTTAAAAAAAAATGTGCTTTGCAAAAAATGCCTTTCTATATGATAAATTAGTTTCTATAAGACTTTTACAATAAACGTTTCATATTTATTAGCTTAATAACCTATCAACAAGTCTCTCCATTCATCTCTACCAAATGAACTCGTTTGTTAACCATACAGCTTAAAATGCACATTTCCATTTAACAAAAAGTAATAGAAATCCAACCTCAAGGAGATGTCCCTTTCCAGAAAAAACAACTCCTAACAGTTGTGCTTTGCAACCCCAAAAGTTAGTTCAAGAAGGGGTTATTGCTCAAGTCCATATAAGCAGACCGCTTGTCCATTCCCCAATAAATGTGGGAACCAAACCCACTCTAACCAACCAACCCCTTTACGCCCAGGTCCTACTGGAGCATGGACCAAGAGCTCAACCATGAATGGACCTGACTTTAATACAATGTAATGATACGGCGCCTTGAACTCTACTCAATCGGATTATAAATTAATGTCTAAAAGAAATTCACAGTGAAAAAAGTCAACTTTATCAGTTTAAAGTGAAGTGGAGTAATGGGAAATGACCAAAATCAATCAAAATGAGAAAAGCAGCTGGTAAAAAGGACTAACCGTTGGGCAAGTAGTAGAAAACATTTTAGGTGAAGCATCCACAAGATACACCAATAATTCCTTAGTAGCATCTCTTTCCTGCATGTTTAGTTTTGACATAAAAATATCAAATAGCTTAATAATCAATCTTAACTTAAACAAGCAAGTGTTAAATTAGGTCTTAGGCTTAACTCACACCCCAAAAGCTAGCTCAAAGGGAGGAGGATTGTCCAAGCCTTATAAGGAGTCCACCCATCTCATTAACCACCGATGTGAGACTTTTGTTCCTCCCTTTTGAGCTAGTTTTTGGAGTATGAGTTAGGCCTAAGACCTAATTTAACAGCAAGTGAAAACTCATAATAATTCCTTTTAGGATTCTGTTTCCAGCATGTTTAGTTTACCCATTTCCCATTTCCCATTCCCTACCCCTAATTTTAAAAAAAAAAGGTCAAGGGGCTTACCTTGAAGAATTCATTTTCAGGGTCATCTTCATCGTCACGAAAGACTTCATCTGGGTCGAGGTCCATTGACATATTGAAGATTTTTTGGAACAATAAAGTGAAGCAGAAGAAATGAAGAAGCTTTAGGTTTTAAAATGTGACTTGTTCTGAATATAAGCTTGTTGGAGAAGGAGACGCCCTCCCGCCTTATTTTCAATAGGGCATTTCCGTAATTGATCAATTGCCCAAGACATTTTCATTTTGCCAGGTGGCTATTGCAATTTTTAATGTGGTAGGTACTATGTGCTTGCATGTTTGTACTTTTAGGAGTTACGATTGTAGAATTTACAAAGTTTTTAAATGGAGTCCACTTTGATTAAAAAACCATGAATCCTCAAATTATTACTCTCGCTGCCTCTAATTACTTGTCCACTTTTCCTTTTATAGTTGTCTCTAATTACTTGTTCATTTTGACAAATCAAGAAAGAACACAAAAAATTTTATCTATTATATCATCAATTAATTACTTTGAAAAAGGTAGAACTTTTTGAAAATCTTAAATTTTTTATTCATCCACTTCATAATTAATAAGGATAAAATGATAAACTCACTATGTCAATAATTGTTTCTTAATAGGTGTATCAATTCAAAAGTGGACAAGTAATTAGGGAAAGAGGGAGTAGCTTTTTGTTGTCTGATTCAATACACTCTGCGAGAAAGAAATGTATGTGTTGTTTTATCTCTTTAATCATGTAACAAGAGAAACCAAAAACCAACGTCAAAGGAAAAAAATACATCTTACCTTTGTATAGGTTACATTGCTAGATACAGGATTCTTGTAGTAGGCTGGATCAAGATCCAATCGAACGAAGGTAGGCTTTAGAAACAATAGGTTGGGAAAGAAAGAAAACGCTTTGTGCTATAGGTAGTTGGTTGGTTGAAAGGAAAATGTCCGACTTTGTACATGACATATTCAAATTTGCTCAGCTACATCTTCAGTATGATTTCACAGTTACTCGAATGACAGCATGATACATTCAAAGAACCATGAAGAAAAAAGAACAAATAGAATTGTGATAATCCACAAGAATACACTAAGGAATATGAAATGTTTTACAATCAGCAGCGAAGCTAATTGTGTAACCACTTGCAATGTGAAGCACCTTTGGACCCAAAAATAAACCAATGATGTATAAATACTGAACATAAACTACAACCGGGGCTTACAAAACTTTTAGGGCAGTAATTCACCCAATTCAGACAGTATATGCATCATCTGGTACCCAAACAAATATAATACATGATAAATGCTGTGTGCATTTACGACCATCCCTCAACCCCCAAACCCTCCTATACCAAATAGAAAGGCCACCAATGAATAATCCTAACGTTTTCATCTGTATAAAAATGAACTACTACCAAGACACTCGGGAAAAAAAAGACAATGACATCCAGCAAAGAGGCATCTTCTGACATAGAATAGCCCACTTCACAGCGACTCATCAAGACCACACAGCAAAAGAAAAAGCAGGCCTAGTTGCAACTTCATCTTCTGCCACTCAGTAACCAAGGTACATATTGGGATGATTACTCATTGAGTTTTGGCCAAAAGCAAACCGGTTGACCAAAATCATGAAGCAACTACTGCTGTCGCCTTCTCCATTTTTTCTTTCTCTATCTCCACTCTTCTCTGCTCAGCATGCTGAGCAACACCATTTGCCAATGCTTGATAACGGAAGTCCAAAGTCTGGGTCAGGCTCTGGAACTTCACTGGATCAGATGCTTGCATAGCTGGATCCAACAGTCCAATGTTAGAAGGGACGAAATAAGTGAGCCCATTGCCCAACACCAAGCAAAAAGTCATTTCTGAAAACAAAATATGCAAGCAGCATCATACCTTTGATTGTTTCCACAAAGAAAATGAATGGGTCCACCTCATCAAGGGGTGATTGCATCTCTTCATCATCATCACTAAAATCGTCATCGGAGTCCTCATCATCATCGTCCTCGTCATGTGAGCGGAAAGCCTTTGCCTACAAAAGCAGAACAAGATGTCAAAGCTTTTAGAGATGCTAACTCTAATGGCGGCATTCTTTATCTTGAAACAGAGACATCCAGGCCTCCATCTGTAATAAATTCTCCTACAAGAAGCCATCACACAAAGGTAATCTACAGAAGGTACTTCAAATTCCTTCATTTTCTGAGGCACGAAAAATGTCACTACCAAACTCATGTCATCAAGTACACAACCGACATAGTTCTTGATATATCATAATCATTCTAAAAGAAACCCTATGTGTTCTCTTGTTCAACCTCATTCAAATAAAAATCTTGTGTTTTCTCTGCAATATGTTGCTCAACTGTTGTCCTATAAAGGATAGAAACCAGATCCCGTCTCAAGCTGCTAATTCAATAGTTAAAAATACAAATTCCGACTCCTCAACAACAACACACCCAGCGTAATCCCACAAAGGGGTCTAGGAAGGGTGGTATGTACGCAAACCTTACCCCTACATTGTGCAGGTAGAGAGGCTGTCTTCTGACCCCCATTCAGGTTAAAACAAAGCAGAAAGTAATAGATGACTCTACTCCACCAAAAATATGCATCAGCAGTACAAATTCCAATAGTACAAGCACAGTTTTAGTAATCACCTGTGCAGCCAATTTTTGAAGCCTAGTACTGTCAGCTTCATCCCCTTCCTCAGCATCATCCCCCATTTCCTTGTCAGACTCGTCATCTTCGTCGTCATCCTCATCAGTTTGCAAGCCATTCATATCATCATCGTCTTCTGCCTCATCCTCCTTAGCCGCTTCTAAACACGATGATAAAAATTGATAAAAATATTAGATGAGTGTACATGGTGTAGTAATGTTCCAGAAAATGAGGAAAATGCTAAAATAAGTTTAACCTGCTACTTGATCTTTGTAGGCAACAAGCAGATCTAGAGTTGCTTTGAAAACACGATCTAAGGCTTCCCTTGGGAATTGATCCACAGGAAGAGGGAGCAAAGATGTCAAACCCAAGCAGCAAACCTTTTTGTCATGTTCCCTGCAAAACAATATAAGGAGCATAACATTAGTGGGCCTGTTTACCTGCTAATTCATTCAAAATTGTTTAAACTTCTCCTTTTTCATTGGAAACAGCAAGAGTAACAGGCCTTCTTCACCTTTTAAAGTTAACCCGTTTTCCGCTCTTTTTTGTTTGTCCCAACATGTGAAACCAGAGATTAAACACCTCTGTAGCAATGCCAAGCTTTTGAAGGATGTTCCATGTCAAGGGCGCATTGTAGTAAAGAGCATCAGCTATCTGCCAAAAGGAAAATTATCAAAACAATAGAAACATCAGCAACCTGTGAAACAAAATCTAGAAAAGAACAATAAGCTATCAGCAATCTGAGTACCAATACTTAAAGCACATAGAAACATCAGCAATTTATCATATGTATAGATATATTCTACGTGCATCAAATTTGATGATCAGCTAGAAGGGAGAAGGGGAAAGAACACAGACGGCTCTTGAAGTGTCTACACTCAAAAGATACACCCCATATTAAATATAAATTCATGGTTGTTATATTGCCTTCTGACAATAAAACGAGAAAAAAGAAGAATTAAATTCTTCCCAAAACATCACACCACCTCGTAAATCTCCAAATGCAGTGTTCACTATGCGCAACACTGTAGTGATTGAAGGAGTTAAAAGGGGACTAAATACACCTAAAAGCACATGGAGCTCTAGAAAGCTACTATCTCTCTGAAGCCATTTGGAAATAACCAAAGAACAAAACATGGGAATACCAACTAGCTTGCCTAGCCCAATTGCACACACAACCAGTCCAGCTCTAAGAATATTATCATAATTTGTTTAGGACATACGTAAGCCAGTAGAGTGACAAGTGTGAGATGTAGAGCACACTAGTTTAAGAGAACCACAATATTTGTTCAGAAAAGAAATTGAGTATGCCAATGAAATGGTTCCAAATACTAGCATTGCTACATAGGATTCATGTGATCAACCACAATGCAATTGAGGATCAATTTCATCAAAACATTGTTTTCATAACAAATGAAGAATGTGCATGTTGGTGCAGCAAAGAAAGCATCGATATGCATATGTCAAATGAAAATGACAGACAATACATTTCATAGATCAATGGTTAGCAAAACAGAAATAAAGGGCACATAGGGAGTCGCTGAAGCAAGATAGCTAGCACTCCTCCTATGTTACTGTTCCAGGAAGCATCCACTTACCACATACCAACAAGAGTACACAGTTAATAGAGAAACATACCAAAAGTAAGTTTGAACATTAAGTAAATTACCACTAGGACCAAGAGACACTTCAGATATGATTTTTCAGCTCGACGGAGACGTTCAATTGACACTCTAATATACGGCTCAACCCAGTGATCCACCTGTCCCTTGCAATGCTCGAATACAACTTGAATAAGCTTAGGTGCGGACTCAATGTCACCATCCTCCAAATTTTTATCTCCCATAACCTGACAAGAAATATTTATTCCACATTTTAATCTAAAGCAAATGATCAGAAGCTAAGATTCAGGGGCAGAATTCGACTTACAGATGATATCATATTCCAAAGGCTTTGTTGGTAGTCCGGATCCTTGCAAGTGAGGAAGTGAGCAGTACTCTTGGATATATAGTTGTCTAAAGGAACCAGTATATCTGCAAAAACATAAATCCAACCCAACAAAAAAGGGAACCAGATCAGGTAATATGCAAAACTGTAATTTTTAGTTCCATATAAATGATTAAACATCTACCATCCCACTGGCAAAACAAAGAGCATATGCTACATTCCGCAGCACTTAGCATCTCTTTCACAGAAGAATGCATCACATCTCACTACAGCCACAACCCCTATTACTATATGCAATATAACAGCATCATAAAATCATTTCACCAAACATGGCCAATCTTTAGAAGGATGAGATGAAATCCAACCATCTAGATTGATTAGCAACTTATTCTTTACCACCAGCACCCCTCCCAATAAGATGAACAAGAGGAAAGTAAAGAAAATGGAAAAACATAGCTAGGAATAAGAGTACTTCAAATTTCAAAATACAACAAGAAAAAACTGTTCTGCTCATGAAAATA